GGTTTTTATATACTTAAAACACGTGGAACTGTTAGAACTACCTAATTATTGGAATAATTCTATTGCCCCAAAGAATAAGCCATAAATTATCAGTCCTCCCCTATTCTGGCATTATTCTTTTACTCTTACCTCATTGGACTGCCCACTTTCAGCATTTTAGAGAAATGAATTCATATAAGTGGCCCTGTCAGTGTATCAGACTTCTTTCATTTAGCAAATTTTCTAACTTTATCAATATTGTAAAGTATGTTAAGTATTTCCCTTTTGTGGCTGAATGGTATTCCATTCTATGGACATACAGCATTTCGTTCACCATTCATGAGTCAATAGCATTGGGGAGTAGCTGATCTAGCCATTCTTAATGCTCCTGCTGTGAGTTTCATACTCAGGTCAGTGTGTGAGCGTGTGTTTTCAGCTCTTTGGGTTATACTCAGAACTGCTGTATAGTGTGGCACTCTAGAGGTCTAGGGACACCTGCACTCTAAGCAAAAAAAGTGTAGAGTGGAATGGTCATGAACTTAGAAACAAACAAATTGTCCACTTATTTCAAAAGAGACACTAAGTAGACTAAAAGCAGTTGAGCAATTATTAATTAAAAACATCACAAATAAAAGTCTAGGCCCTGATTATTTTAATGGTGTTCTGTAGGACTTATTATTAATTTCTTGTTTAATCAGATATTTTTAAAAGATAAAATCACTTCCAGAAAAATAGAGGAGGAACCTGTTTTGAACAATGCAAACAATGCTCTGATACAAAAGCTAGACAAATACATTAGAAAAAAATACAGGCTCATAACCCTCATGAAAATGTATACTAAATTCTCTGCTAAACTTAGCAAATGAAATCATTGACCACCTTCCTGGTGTGTATAAGTCCCTGGGTTCAATCTCCAGTAATGAGAAAGGAAGAGAGGGAAGGAAGGAAGGAGGAAGGAAAAGAAAAATCTTTGCAGATCAAAGCTGACAACATACTAAAAAAAAGATTATTCATCATGACTGGGGGATTTACTCAAAGAATACACAGTCAGTTTAACATCTGAACACCAACTAACATATTGTACATTAGAAGTAGAAATTGAAATAAAACCTGGATGGCTGGATAGAAGTGATTTAATAAATCCAAGCCCACTTGTGATAAAAGCTCTTTGACTTGAAACAGAAGGAGCTGCTTTCACAGAACAGAGCAGCTCCTCAAAACCCACAGCCAAAAGCATGCTTAAACGGCCCAAGACTAACCACTTCTGCCCAGGACGTTGTTCTCCTGACATTTTCATTAATGCTTCACATTAAGATTGTAACAGCCAGGTTAGTGCGGGGAGAATTAAACTGTCCTTATTTGCATTGTCCTAATGTTGTGTGATATAAAACCAAGATGACATCAGTTGTATGTATTCCAAGAAAGTGGTCCAAAATGATATTAAGAAAATAATGTCCAGGAAAGGCACAAAGCTACACAAA